CACGTGAAACAATATTATTTTTTAAATCAAAACCACCCTCTCCATACGCTGGAAGGAGAGAGAAATATTAACGATTTGTGGTACAAATAAAAAAAAAAAGTTTAGTTTTTTTTAATAATATTTTTAATTTGAATTTTATGAAGAGATAGATAAGTATTAGAGAGGGTTTTTGTTTTATTTGATGTAATTTAATTTTAAATTAATTAAAATTTAATGTAATTTTTAAATATTGAGATTTAATAATAATAAAAAAAGAGAGTAGGAAATGGAAATTCAGATACTAAAGATAATTCAACTTGCACCAAGTCAATTCTATAGTTATAATATTAGAGTAAAATTAATAACAAAAAAATATTAGAGTAAAATTATAAATTTATAGTTATGATATAAAATTAAATGAGTATAATTAATATCAATATTAATATTAAATTTTGTTGTTATTAAGGTCAAAATGCATTAAGGCTCAAAAATTAAAACAAAATTAAAATTTTATTTGTGTTTAGATAACTCTTCTATTTATCAATTAATATTAATTTTTTAAAAATTTAATTTTAAATTGTTATTTTATTTGAAGATTTCAATATTTTCTTTTTGAAATTAGAATAGTGATTATCTATTTGTTTTTTATTGTTAACAAAAAACTAAAAACTAGATAAATTCAAATTAAAATTATTACTTTAGTTGCAAAATAAACAAAATTAAAAATTTTACTTAATTCTAATTTAAAAATTATATAACAAAAACTCTTTTAAATTAAATCATTTATTTTAAATTCAAACTTCATCTCATTAAATTTTTAATTTAAATTCACAATTAATCTTATTTTATTACCTTTTTAAATTTCAAATTAATAGATTGATAGAACTTCTATATATATTTTATTAAATTTTGCTGCCATTAAAACCCAAAATGCATTAATGCCCAAAAATTAAAAAATAACTAAATTTTTATTAGTGTTTTATTTTTTTTTTTTACAAAGCCCTATAATATTTAGAAGCTACATTGGGTTTCAAACTTTCAATTAATTTAAAGTCGAGCCAAATCGAATTTCATGAAGGAAAATTCTGTCAAACGTCTGTCTCTCCATTTACAAGATTTCCAATGCTTAAATAACTCTTTCATTTATCAACAAATTTTAATTTTTTTGAAATTTGATTTTAAATTGTGATCTTATTTTGAGATTTCAATATTTTCTTGTTTAAATTAGAATGTTGATTATCCATTTACTTTTCATTGTTAGCCAAAATTTGAAAACTAATTAAATTCAAAATAAAATTGTTGTTTTATCTATAAGATAAACAAATTTGAAAAATCTTACTTAAATCTAATTTAAGTCTTATATAAACGAAAACTCTTTTAGAATAGGTGATTTATTTAAAATTCAAATTTCACCTTAATAAAATTTTAATTTAAATTTGCAATTGAGCTTATTGTATTATTTTTCTAAATTTCAAATTAATAGATAAATAAAACTTATACCAAATGATAGAACTTATTATTTAAAAAAAAAAAAGTGGAATCCCTCTTTCCTTTAAGAACTGAGAGAAAGTTTATCAAAAGTTGTTCAATCCTTTGCAAAATAAAAGATAAATATTTAAATAAATATAAATTTAGAGCAGATCCCCGTTAACGAGGTAAGGTCTACTAGTGTGTTATTAACGGAATAGATATATATAATATTACAGATGAACTCTTGAATAAAAAAAGTTAACTATAATTATATATACATTATATTATAAACTTATAATACTACATAGCATTGTAACTATAATGTTTAGACATATTAACAAACAAACAAATTAAAAAAAAATCTAAGCTTCAGCTTCACAATAGGAAATAGGAATAGGGAATG